TTTTTTTTTTTTTTTTTTTGAGACCGCGTCTCACTCTGTTGCCCAGGTTAGAGTGCAATGGCATAGTCTCAGCTCACTGCAACCTCTGCCTCCAGGGTTCAAGTGATTCTCCTGCCTCAGCCTCTTGAGTATCTGGAATTACAGGTGTGTGCCACCACACATGACTAATTTTTGTATTTTTAGTGGAGACAGGGTTTCACCATGTTGGCCGGGCTGGTCTTGAACTCCTGACCTCAAGTGATCCACTCAGCTCAGCCTCCCAAAATGCTGGGATTATAGGCATGAGCCACCATGCCCAGCCAATCTTAATCATTTTTAAGTGTACATTTCAGTAGTGTTAAATATATTCCCATTATTGTAAAACAGATCTCCAGAACTTTTTCACCTTGCAAATCTGTAACTCTGTACCCCTTAAACAAGAGCTTCCTCTTTTCTTCTTCCCCCAGCCCCTTCTAACCCCCATTCATCTTTCTGTTTTTATGAATTTGACTTCTCTAGATACCTCATGTAAGTGGAATCATACAGCATTTGTCTTTTTGTGACTGGCTTATTTCAGTTAGCATAGTGTCTTCAGAGTTTGTCAATATTGTAGCATATGACAGTATTTTCTTCCCTTTTTAAGGCTGAATAATATTCCATTGTGGATATATACTGTATTTTATTTCTCCATGCATCCATTGATGAGCACTTGGGTTGCCTTTACCTCTTGGCTATTGTGAATATTCCTGCTGTGGATATGGATGTGCAAATATGTCTTTGAGACCTTTCTTTCAGTTCTTTTGGGTATATACCTGTAAGTGGGATTACTGGATCTGTTTTTACTTTCTTGAGAGCCTTTCATACTATTTCCCATAGCAGTTATACCATTTTACAATCCCACCAATAGTGGCAAGTGGTTTTCTGTTTTCTTTGGTTTTCCTAAATTTAATAGTTTTAAAAATCTCTCCTTGAGTGACATAGGATTTAAGAGCAAAACAACCCAAATCCTAGCCTGCCACGTACTAGCTGTGTGACCTTAAGCAGGCCACTTATCTTCTCAAAGCCAAGTTTCCTCACCTGCCAGGTGGGCGTGGTAATTAGTGCTTATCTCAATTAGTGCTTATCTCAAGGGCAGTTGTGAGAACTACAGGAGATAATACATGGAAGGCAGTGAGTGAACACCTGAACACATAGCATTCAAGTCATGTTAATTACTTATTAGTAATGGGTTCTAAGGGTTCTGTTATTTCAATGAGTTTTTAGTTTCTAATCATGTTACTTCTTTGCTTCATCTATATTATCTAACTGTACATTTTAAAAACATATTATTGGCCGGGCATGGTGGCAGACGCCTGTAATCCCAGCACTTTAGGAGGCCAAGCCAGGCGAATCACGAGGTCAGGAGTTCCAGACCAGCCTGGCAAACAGGGTGAAACCCCGTCTCTAGTAAAAATACAAAAATTAGCTGGGTGCGGTGGCAGGCGCTCCTAGCTACTTGGGAGGCTGAGCAGGAGACTCACTTGAAACCGGAAGGCAGAGATTGCAGTGAGCCGAGATCACACGTGCCATGGCACTCTAGCCTGGGCAACAAGAGTGAAACACCATCTCAAAAAAAAAAAAAAAAAAAAAAAAAAAAAATATATATATATATCTCTACTTGTCACTATAATTTCTACTTAATACCTTCCTTTTCCTATTGCATTGTACTCAAACATACTGCTTCCCTTCTATATGTGACAGCTTAACTTAAAAAAAAAAAAAAAAGACTTTACATTTCTGGAAATTGGCTACCCAGAAACCTTATCTTTCTGGAACATTGCCCAAAACCAAGTAGGTAACAAATACCTACCTACCTATCTACATACAATCATACCATTTCAGTTACCTGTGAGTCTTATTGCTCCACTGATAACAGACTACCCCAAAACAGTGACTTAAAACAGCCGCCATTAATTTGCTCATAATTATTTAGTCTAGGTTAGGCTCAGTTGGGTGGTTGTTTGGGAGGTCTCACTTGGGGTTTTTTATGCATCTGCAGATGTCTGCAGGTGTGACTAGTGTTGGAGGATCCAAGAGGGCTTCACTCACATGTCTGACACTTCAGCTGGAGTGACTGGAACAGGTGAGGGCTGGCTGGCATGTTCTCTACAAGTGGTATCTTCAGCAGCATTGCCAGACCTCTTTACATGGGGGCTCAGAGCAACAGGAAAGAAAAGCAGAGAATTTACCAGGCCTCTTATTTTTTTTGTTTGTTTGTTTGTTTGTTTTTTTGAGACGGAGTCTCGCTGTGGCCCAGGCTGGAGTGCAGTGGCCGGATCTCGGCTCACTGCAAGCTCCGCCTCCCGGGTTCACGCCATTCTCCTGCCTCAGCCTCCTAAGTAGCTGGGACTACAGGCGCCCGCCACCTCGCCCGGCTAGTTTTTTTTTGTATTTTTTTTAGTAGAGACGGGGTTTCACCAGGTTAGCCAGGATGGTCTCGATCTCCTGACCTCGTGATCCGCCCGTCTCGGCCTCCCAAAGTGCTGGGATTACAGGCTTGAGCCACCGCGCCCGGCCTTACCAGGCCTCTTAAGGCACTCATACAGCATCACTTCCACCACATTCTGTTGCTCAAAGCAAATCATGAGGCCAGCCCAGATATAGCTGGAGGGGAAACAGATTCCACATCTAGACTGGGGGAGTGTCATGCACATGTAATTACATATGGGAGGAATGGAAGCAAACTACCACGCTTCTGTGTACACATACATACATATATAAATGCATCTCCTATAGACAAGCAGATTCTTCGTGGTTTTGTCATACTTGGTAGATGAGTAGTGCATTTTGCAGTGCCCATAAAGTGACAGTTGACTATTAAAGATTCCAATCATAGCACTGTATCCTGTTTTCTTGTTTGTTTGTTTACTTTCCTTAACTCATTCCAAAATACGTCCTTTTCTTATATTCTTATTCCCTTAGGCCCAAACCTGGTCCTAGGCCTTCCCTCTTAATTCATGCCTGTGCAGCAAACAGCAGGGAAGGACAACAGATTTTATAGTCAGACCCCCCAGGTTTGACTCCCTGCTCCATTTTGGGAAAATCACTTAACGTCTGTCAAAATCCATTTATTCACCTATAAATTGGGATAATAGTGGAACCTATGTAATGGGAGTGCTGTGAGGAAAAATGAGACGACTTATGTAAAGTATGTAGCAGGTAAACTCACCTTAATAGACAATAGGTTCCTTTCCCTTTCTTCCGCTCTTTCCTTACTCCATGATGTGAAACATCCCTTCCGTCACTGCGCTATGACATTGTAAGAGAAATAGCTGTAGCCAAGCAGGTTCTTCATGGTTTTGTTGCACTTGGTAGATGAGCTGCTTATCTTTGTACAAGTTGCTGAACCCCACTATGCCTCATTTTCTTCATCTATAAAATTTTAATGGTGCCTAGTTCACTGGGCCATTGAAAATAATTAAATGAGCACAGAACCTGGCAAAGAGAAGGCGCGTAATGAATGCTTGTTATTGTAATAATTATAATGATTAGTATCAGTTAAGTTATTGCTATTATTGTTTAGCCCAATGCCTTGAATTGGAGCAGAATGTCTGAAAATCCCTATTGCCCCTTCTCCCATAACATTCTAGGGAATCCCTATTCTGTTTCTTTAGGGTAAGGATCCCAGACTACAAGTATGTACCACAAAAGCTGGGTTCTCCATTGTGGGATTCCAGGAGTCATACTTTTGTCTCCTCCAAATTCAAAAGATTCCTAGGTGACACCCAAGGAGTATAGTCTTCTGCTGCTCCCTTCCCATGTTACAAACTCAGCTAATTGGTTAGAAAAAAAAAAAAAAAACAGGAAGAGGTAGCAGACTCAGAGTCCTTACATCAGATGACAAGGGGGAGAAGTATGGGGTGCCTAGCATTGCCAGGACATTAATTCTCCTCTAAGGTAGCCCTTAGACTATGCTCCTCCCCACCCCAGGACTTGGGTTCAGATGCCTGGTGGCATCTGAGCACTTTACTGACCCTCTCTTCTTCCTGCTTTCTGTGTCTTACTTACACTTGCCATTAGGGTACCATGAGGTATGAGGTTACTCCTTTTATAAATAAAACGGCATCTGATGTCTTCTGATAACCCATCCAGGTAGAAAGCTGCACTCTGCAGTTTGAGCCTGAAAAGATCCTCTCTGTGTCAAGGAGGGCCCTCCTTTTTGCTAACCAGAGCAAATAAGTACCCAAACATTGATCACCTCATTTGCAGATAATGCCCCCCTAAAATGCTTCCCTGCAGTCGCAGGGTTTTTTTTCTTTTCCCTTGTGGTCACAACACAAGTTAAAGTCAGCTTGACTTTTCAGGCTGCTACCTCCAGCCAATCCGGACACCAGCCTCTTCCACCTTGTGTACGTAGATGCCATTGCCATAGCCATCGTTGGATTTTCAGTGACCATCTCCATGGCCAAGACCTTAGCAAATAAACATGGCTACCAGGTTGACGGCAATCAGGTAAAGATAATCAGTTTCCTGCAGATGTTTCATAGCAGTACAATCACCAGTGTCAATTGTGGAAGTCACAAGAACTAATCTATCTTGGTAGAAAAACTTTTTTTTACTGGTGATTGTTGTATCTGAAGCATGTATTTATTCAACCTGTAATGTTATCCCTATTCTTAAAGCTCGCAGCTTAGAATTAAATGTTTTTCCAGGGCGTTTTTGCTCCCCAGGAAGGCTTATCTTTGTTCATTAGAAGTTGGGTATATGATTCATCACTAACTCCACAATATTCTCTTTGTCACGTACTTTATAACACAGCCATAGATAAGGTGTTTAATCCAAACACTGTGACCTATAATGTTGACATAACAATGTCTATTTCAATACCTTATGTGTTCTAAGGAGAAACTAGATGCTCCACATTCATCTGAGATGCAGTTGTCAAACTAGAAATACCCAAAGTAAACCTAAGAGCAGGACTCGCCCTAGGAAGACACTGGCATGTATTCGTTGGTGAGCAATAGCCCAGGCATTAAAAAGATGCCAGGAGTCCTATATAACAATAACTTTCTCTTCGGCAATAAAAATAGTTTATCCCTTTTCGTGCAGTTTTCTTCTTAAACATTAAGAAGATTTTGTAGAGGATCTGTTTGGAAAGAAGGAGGCTAAGCAGGGAGCTCAGCATTTATCTCTGACAAAATAAAAATTCAAAGTGTTTCCTCCCCCCACTGTAAAATATGCCATAATTCCTATTTTGAACTCATGCTAAACAAATTCTTACATCTGAAAGGAAAATGAAGAGATAGACTGTAGTGCTGACAATGTGTATTAAATGGGCTATTATGCTTTTTTTCCCTGAAGAATGACCTATCTCTTTTGTGTTTTGTTTCTACATGGAAAAGGAGCTCATTGCCCTGGGACTGTGCAATTCCATTGGCTCACTCTTCCAGACCTTTTCAATTTCATGCTCCTTGTCTCGAAGCCTTGTTCAGGAGGGAACTGGTGGGAAGACACAGGTGTGTACATAACAGGCCTCTAAGACCTGGTGATATGGGTGGTAATTAAATTTTAATCTTTTGATTATATTCTGAACCCAAACAAAGCTACTCTGCCGGCCGGGCACGGTGGCTCAAGCCTCAAGCCTGTAATCCCAGCACTTTGGGAGGCCGAGACGGGCAGATCATGAGGTCAGGAGATCGAGACCATCCTGGCTAACATGGTGAAACCGCGTCTCTACTAAAAAATACAAAAAAACTAGCCGGGCGAGGTGGCGGGCGCCTGTAGTCCCAGCTACTTGGGACACTGAGGCAGGAGAATGGCCTGAATCCAGGAGGCGGAGCTTGCAGTGAGCTGAGATCCGGCCACTGCACTCCAGCCTGGGTGACAGAGCAAGACTCCGTCCCCCAAAAAAAAAAAACAAGCTACTCTGCCTGCAGATCCACGCTCCAATGAGCTGTATAGTGAATCAGAGAAAGGCATGGTTGGTTGAAGTGAATCACAAGGAACTGAATCTATAGGAAAGAGGTATATTCTCCAGTTAAATTGGAAAGTTATGCAACGCTCGGCTACCAGTAAACCTCAAAGTTCAGACATGGGATGTTGTTCATGAAAGCCTGAGACTGAGTGTGGGCAGTATGCCAGCACCATCCAGTAGAACTTTCCACAGTGATGGAAATGTTCCATATCTGCACTGTCCAATATGGCAGCCACTAGCAACATGTGGCTCTTGAGCACTTGAAATGTGGTTAGTTCGACCAAGACCTGACTTAATTTTTAAAACTGTAAATGGCCGGCAGGGTGCAGTGGCTCACACATGTAATCCCAGCACTTTGGGAGGCATAGGCGGGCGGATCACGAGGTCAGGAGATCGAGACCATCCTGGCCAACATGGTGAAACCCTGTCTCTACTAAAAATACAAAAATTAGCTGGGCATGATGGTGGGCGCCTGTAGTCCCAGCTACTCGGAAGGCTGAGACAGGAGAATCACTTGAACCTGGGAGGCAGAGGTTGCAGTGAGCCGAGGTTGCACCACTACACTCCATCCTGGCAACAGAGTGATACTCTGTCTCAAAAAAAAAAAAAAAAAAAAAAAAAGGACCACATGTGGCTACCGGCTCCCATATTGGACAGCAGACACTTATCTGAACTCTTCTGGTGGCCTTTGTGGGTCTCAGATTGACACCAGACATCTTTTCCTCACCTGCGGAAAGGGCATTTTAATTAGGGTATTTCAGCATTTCAGCTTCCATTTAAAAGCCCTAAGAAGAACCAAAACTTCAGAGAGGGAGTGGGATGTAGCTATAGGTATGTAGTGGTTTAGTTGACTTATTTGAATGCTTATTTTCTTGATCTTCCCATAGTAATTATCAAAAGAATAAAACCGACTTATGCCCTACCTCTTATTCAAGTCTCCTAAAAGCCCCTTCCATGTGTCTTCTCCCATTCAGCTTGCAGGTTGTTTGGCCTCATTAATGATTCTGTTGGTCATATTAGCAACTGGATTCCTCTTTGAATCATTGCCCCAGGTGTGTATAATGTGGACTTGGGTGAAGTTTTTTTCATGTGTAGAGATTTTGCTATTTTATTTGTTTATGTTTTTATGGCTATATTAGGGTTATTTACTGTAACCCTCACAGGATGGCATGAGAAAGGGCCAAGGCTAGGACCAAGATCCTGCTCTATAACCTACTGACAGCTGCCTGCAGGACCTGGGGAAAGCCATCTTAACTCCTCTGAGTCTCAGTTTCCTTATCTGCAACGTCAGAGTTTGGGCTGGCTGATCTTGAACGTCCCTTCTCTCTTTGACCTTCTATGACCTTATACTTTCATTAAAAAATCTGAGATGGCCTATACTCATAAGATAGTTACATGATGATACCTTTAATCTAGTAGAGATCAGAAACCATATAGAGTAGAGACGATCATAATGTAGAAAGACCATAGGTGAAATAATTCCTTGAATACCAAGTTTAATTCTGAACCTCTTGGCCACCATGCAGGTTTGCTATTAGGATATCAGACTGATTTCCGGCTGGGTGTGGTGGTTCACACCTGCAATTGGCATTTTGAGAGACCAAGCCGGGCAGATCACCTGCAGTTAGGAGTTCAAGACCATCCTGGCCAATATGGTGAAACCCTGTCTCTACTAGAAATACAAAAATTAACTGAGTGTGGTGGCATGTGCTTGTAGTCTCAGCTACTCTACTCAGAAGGCTGAGGCAGGAGAATTGTTTGAACCTGGGAGGCAGAGGTTGCAGTGAGCCAAGATTGCACTACTGCACTCCAGCCTGGGTGACAGAGCAAGACTTCATCTCAAAAATAAAAAAAGACTGATTTTCCAAGGCCCCTTTTAGCTAACCAGGTCCTGAAAATCCAGGTGTCCATGGCTTCAAAGCTACCATCAGTGCCATATAGGAAGTGAGTAGGGAGAAGACATGGGGAGGACAGCAGGAGGACAGTGAGGAACCAGCAAAGGGTGCTCTGTGGACACAAGAGGAGAGGCATGGGGGATGTGCTCTGTTTCAGGCTGTGCTATCCGCCATTGTGATTGTCAACCTGAAGGGAATGTTTATGCAGTTCTCAGATCTCCCCTTTTTCTGGAGAACCAGCAAAATAGAGCTGGTAAGTAACAAAGGTGGTGGCTATGTTAATATGTCATAGAGCAAATACGATTATGCTAAGAAAAATGTGAGAAAGATAAGTTAGTGCAGTTGTTATGTGCAGTATCCAGTTAGGCAAGGTAAAAGTAGCGTGTGTGTGCACAGTTAGTTGCGTGTTTGCCTCTTGTGGGATGTTTAACATGGTTCTTCATCAAGCTTTCTGTCTTTTGCTTAGACCATCTGGCTTACCACTTTTGTGTCCTCCTTGTTCTTGGGATTGGACTATGGTTTGATCACCGCTGTGATCATTGCTCTGCTGACTGTGATTTACAGAACACAGAGGTGAGTGCCCAGATTTGAATGGGTGTGAGTATCCCGGCAGAGATTACAATGTTGACTTTGAGTGTAGACCAAAGTTTAAGTTGGTAAAAGTAGAGCCCTTTGATGATTTCTAGTTAGTGTGAGAGGGAGTTGTAACACTCATGTAGCCTGTTGACTAAATGAACAAAATGCCAATTAAAAAATTCCATATAATTTTGTCAAGTGCTCTACGGTGTCACAATTTATGCTCCCATCAATGATTATGTTAAAAGAGCCCAATTTCCATCATTGTTTCTGCCATTCCTGGTCTAGTGCTATGCAGGTTTATTTACCCTCTTGTAGTTTGTTTTGGCACCAGGTACTGACATGGGTTTCAATGACATGAAGCAAACTCTGACACCAAGTTATCATTTGCAGTCCTTCCATTGTCCTTTCCTCCACCCTGAACCACTATCCCTGTTATCTCTTCTCCCTAGTAGGAAGCTGAGCCCACTAGGGAAAGTATAAAATAACTTTTGAAAAAATATGGTTGGGCACAGTGGCTCACGCCTGTAATCCCAGCACTTTCGGAGGCCAAGGCAGGCAGAACACTTGAGGTCAGGAGTTCAAAACCAGCCTGACAAACATGGTGAAACCCCGTCTCCACTAAAAATATTTAAAAAATTAGCCAGGTGTGGTGGCGTGCACCTGAAATCCCAGCTACTTGGGAGGCTGAGGCAGGAGAATTGCTTGAACCCAGGAGGTGGAGGTTGCAGTGAGCCGAGATTGAGACACTGCACTCCAGCCTGGGCAATAGAGCAAGACTCCATCTAAAAAATATATATATATATATTTATGGGCTGGGCATGGTGGCTCACACCTGTAATCCCAATTCCAGCACTTTGGAAGTCTGAGGTGGGAGGATCACTTGAGGCCAAGACCAGCCTGGGCAATATAGCAAAACTCTGTCTCTATCAAAAAAACAAAAACAAAAACAAAAACTTTTTATGATAAATCCCCTTAAAGGTGAAAAGGAAACATTGTCATAGAAATAGCCTGGACTGGCCAGGTGCAGTGGCTTTTGCCTTGAATCCCAGCACTTTGGGAGGCTGAGGTGGGCAGATCATGAGGCCAGCAGTTCGAGACCAGCCTGGCCAACATGGTGAAACCCCATCTTTACTAAAAATACAAAAAATTAGCTGAGTGTGGTGGCATGCACCTGTAATCTCAGCTACTCAGGAGGCTAAGGCAGGAGAATCGCTTGAATCTGGAAGGCGGAGGTTGCAGTGAGTCGAGTTCATGCCATTGCACTCCATCCTGGGCAACAAGAACAAAACTCCATCTCAAAAAAAGTTTAAAAATAAAATAGAAATAGCCTGGACTTTAGTCAGGTCCTGGCAGCACCTCTGTAAGCTCTGTGATTTTGCATACCTCTCAGAGCCTGTTTCTGCATCTATAAAATGGGACTAATACTTTCTACCTCATATAGTTACAATAAGGTTTAAATGACAAGGCCTACAAACAGCCAGCACAGTGCCTGAGAAGTGCCACGCACTCTCCCAATGCCAGTGCCCTTCCCGCTTTCACACAGGGAAATGAAAATGAAGCTAGTGTGTTTTGCCTGTGGTTGCAAATCACATGAAATCTTCAAGTTGTGACTGCGGTGTGTTGAAAGGGCACTTTATGAGGATGTTGACCCCTTATCTGCAGGATGTCAGGATGCTCCCTACCCTCAAGGGTGGGAAATGAGCTCTTTCATCATCACAAATGACATAGCAGAAAAATGTTAAGAATATGTGGGATTCTAAACTCAAGATAAGAATTTAACTACTTTTAATAACAAGTTCCAATACTGTTGCCCTTATTTATCTAAAAGAAGTGTTTCCCATTTTTATAAAGAGCATTATTAGTATATATAAGAGTTCTTTATCTCAGAACTTTGGTGAACATTCTGGTTTTAAAATATCTGTAACTTTTGGCCAAGTGTGGTGTCTCACTCCTGTAAGCCCAGGACTTTGGGAGGCTGAGGCAGGCAGATCAGTTGAGGTCAGGAGTTCGAGACCAGCTTGGGCAACATGGTGAACCCTCATCTCCACTAAAATTACAAAAGTCAGCCAGGCATGGTAGAGGGCGCTGCAGTTTGGGCTGGGCACAGTGGCTCACACCTGTAATCCAGGCTCTTTGGGAGACTGAGGCAGGTGGATCATTTGAAGTCAGGTGTTCAAAACCAGCCTGTCCAACATGGTGAAACCCCGTCTCTACTAAAAATACAAAAAAAACAGCTAGGTGTGTTGGCGCACACCTGTAATCCCAGATATTGAGGAGGCTGAGGCAGGAGAATAGCTTAAACCTGAGAGACTGAGGTTGCAGTGAGCCAAGATCACACCTCTACACTCCAGCCTGGATGAAAGAGTAAGAGCCCATCTCAAAAAAAACTAAAAAAAACTCCAGTTTGGGCAACCTGGTAAAACCCCATCCATACCAAAAGTACAAAATATTAACCGGGCATGGTGGTGCACACTGTGGTCCCAGCTACTTGGAGGGCTGAGGTGGAAGGATCACTTGAGCCTGGGGGGCAGAGGGTGCAGTGGAAGGTGTACTGGGGAGGCTGAGGCGGGAGAATGGTGTGAACCAAGGAGGCGGAGCTTGCAGTGAGCCGAGATTGTGCCACTGCACTCCAGCCTGGGCGACAGAGCGAGAGTCTGCCTCAACAACAACAACAACAACAACAACAAAAAGAGAGACAAATCACATCGTTCTGCAGATAGTTCCTGAACTCGGGCACTTGCAAGTGTTGTAAATGTGACAGAGGTTCAGCTTCTGCCCCCCAAAGCTCACAATTTGGTTAGCATTATAAAATTTAAAAAATTATAATTTCACTAAATAGATACTTGTTGAGGCCTATTATATTCCCAGGGGGATGCTAGACTGTAGGGACAGTGCAGTATATAAGACATGGTCCTTCCCCTCAAAGGTTGCATTGTCCTAAGGATGACAAACACGTTACCACGATGATGGTGTTAATAAGGACAATGAAGTAAGGATGGCACAAATTATTATAATTACTTATGTGCGTGGCTCTGTGCAAAGATCAATGCTTTATGTCGTTTCATATAATCTTATAACCCAATGACAATTAGCAACCCTGTTCCACAGATGTGGACGCTGAAGTCTAGAATGATTGGGTAACTTGCCCAAGATCACAGTACGTGGTGAGGCAATGACTCAGATGTGAGTTTTTACAAATCCAGAAGCTGACTCAATCAGCACTTTTTTTTTTAAGACAAAATCATGCTCTGTCGCCCAGGCTGGAGTGCAGTGGTGTGATGTCAGCTCACTGCAACCTCCGCCTCCCGGGTTCAAGCAGTTCTCTGCCTCTGCCTCTGCCTCATCCTCTTGAGTAGCTGGGATTACAGGCACCTGTCACCATGCCCAGCTAATTTTTTGTAATTTTTGTAGAGATGGGGTTCCACCATCTTGGCCAGGCTGGTCTTGAACTCCTGACCTCGTGATCCACCTGCCTCAGCCTCCCAAAGTGCTGGGATTAGAGGCGTGAACCACCGCTCCTGGCCTCAATCAGCATTTCATAATCCATCTTCAAAAAATTAGAATATAGGCCAAACACAGTGGCTCATCTCATGCCCCTAATCCCAGCAATTTGGGAGGCCAAGGCAGGAGGATTGCTTGAGGCCAGGAGTTTGAGACCCGCCTGGACAACATAATGAGACCCTGCCTCTACCAAAAAAAAAATTATTTTTTATGTTATTATTTTTAGAGACAGAGTTTTACTTTGCCACATGGGCTGCAGTGCAGTCGCAGGGTCACAGCTCACTGCCACCTTGAATTCCTGGGCTCAAGGGATCCTCCCATCTCAGCCTCCCATGATGGGCACACACCATCACACCTGGCTAATTTTTAAATTTTTTGTAGAGATGGGGGTCTCACCATCATGCTGAGGCTGGTCTTGAACTCCTGGGTTCAAGTGTTCCTCCCACCTCAGCCTCCCAAAGTGCTGGGATTACAGGTGTCAGACTTTGCACCCAACCTACAAATTTTTTTTTTTTTAATTTGCGAGGTATAGCGGTGCACACCTATAGTCCCAGCTACTCAGGAGGCTGAGGCACAAGGATCACTGGAGCCTAGGAGTTCAAGGCTACAGTGAGCCATGATCAGGCCACTGCATTCCAGCGTGGGCCACAGAACAAGATCCCATCTCTAAAAAAGAAATAAGCAAATAATAAAACAAAAGTAAATTTTTAAAGACTTAGAATACACAGTTATAAGTGCCTCAACAGGTGTAAGCAAGGTACAGTGTGATAAGCATAAGAAATGCCAAATAAAACCCTATGGGATTTCATTAAAAGAGACTTTCTTGCTCTTGGTGTCATTAGGGAAGTAGTGAGGACTTGGCCTTCACTGGAAGCAATAGTATTGCAGAAATGGTGTGCCAGGGCACTGCAGATCATCAGGAAGGCCTGTTCATCTTCTACATTTGAAATCCTCATCCTTTGAGGCCCAGTCAGGGACCTCAACTTCCCCTGGGTACCCACAGCAATGCTCTGATCCTTCCCCAGCACCTTGCATGTGTCCATCTCAGCTAGTTGTGTACTTGTGATCCATGTGCCTATCCCCTGCTCTGCCTCCCCTGCGGCACTGGATTGCAACACATGGACGGCACTTTGAGTCTCTTAGAGGTTTTCTCATAATCGCAAACTCAGCTGAGAGCCTTGGCTCCTTATCTACAGTATCAGTCCTCAGAACCATATTTGTCCACAGGTATCACTAGACTGTGAGCGTCTTGTCTGTAAAAGTGATGTTCCTGGAGTCTAGTACCAGGCACATCATTTGTGTTCTCTGAATGCTTATGGAGGGAATCTATACAGCAAAACAGCTAACACCTGTGTGGTATATTCTAATTTACAAAGTACTTTGACATTCATGCTAAGAAGCACCAGGACATAGTAGCAAAACTGTGGAATGTGAAATCAAAGACCTTGAGCCATATTCTGGCTCTGCCAAGCTTTCTCACCTTGAACAACTCACCTAACCCCACTGAGCCTCAATTGCTCATTTACATGATGGCAGGATTGTTAATAATGTTAACTATTATTATAATATTAATTATTAATAGTGCCCAGTAGCATTGTTCAAAGGATAGAATAACAGGTGTTCAAGATGTATCGGTCGTTATTACAGTGTCTAATTTGAGCCAGATGGTCCTACAAAGAGTTAGGAATTAGAGGCGGGCACAGTGGCTCATGCCTGTCTGTAATCCTGACACTTTGGGAGGCCGAGGTGGGTAGATGACTTGAAGTCAGGAGTTCGAGACCAGCCTGGCCAACATGATGAAACCCCGTCTCTATTAAAAATACAAAAATTAGCTGGGCGTGGTGGCGCATACCTGTAATCCCAACTACTTGGGAGGCTGAGTCAGGAGAATTGCTTGAACCCGGGAGGCAGAGGTTGCAGTGAGCCAAGATTGCACCAATGCACTCCAGTCTGGGCAACAGAATAAGACTCTGCCTCAAAAAAAAAAAAAAAAAAAGAAAAGAAAAGAAATTAGGACTCTCAAAAAATAATATTTAAAATCCATTCAGACTAAATTAAGAAAACTTCTATGCTAATTTGAGATTTTCATTTTCTCCCCACACCCTCAATTGACTACTCCCCTACCATGAGTCAGTGATTCTTGCTAATAACAAACAAAAATTCCCTCTCCTACTTTAGAGTTAGAGCAGAAAGACGGTTCTGTCTACTGAGTGGCATGAGGAGAACTTGTGTTACATATATCCCTGGCATAACTTGAACTCTGCGAAATTCAGTGTTGCCTCCACCTCTAAATGCCTGAGTCTTTTGTCCTGACCAGATCGTATTTGTGGTATGGTGTTGCAGGGAGGGGAGGTATAGGGTGTGTGATACGCATTGTGTATGTGGTGTGAGGTATACGTGATGTGTGTGTGTGATGTTATATGTGAGGTGTATGTGATACGTGTATAAGTGCGTGATGTGTATGTATGTGTATTGTGTGTGTGTATGCATGTGTGTGGTGTGTATTGTGTCTCGCATGAAGGTTGTATGTGCAGGTGTGTGTGTGTATGTATGTGGGATGAAGGTTGTATATGCAGGTGTGTATGTGTGTATGTATGTGGGGGGGCGTGTGTGGTATGAGGGGTATATGGTGTGTGTATTGTGTATGGTATTGTGTGGAATGTAGTGTGGCTGGTATGTATGCATGTGTGTGCATGTATGTGTATTGTCTGTGTAGTGTGTGCATGTGTGTGGTGTGTACACATGTATGTGTGTGGTGTGTGTATTATATATTGCATGTGTGGTGTGTATGCATATGTGTGTGTATATGTATGTAGGGGTGTGTGTGGTGTGAGGTATATAGTATGTGTGTATTGTGTATGGTATTGTGTGTGCCATGTAGTATGTGTGTGTTTTGTATGCATATGTGGATGTGTATGCATGGTATATGGTGTGATTGTGTATATTGTGTATGTCTGGTGTGTGTGTATTGTGTGTCTTTGTGGTGTGTATGCATTATGTGTAAGTATTTGTATTGTGCATGTGTGTGGGGTGTGTATGCATTGTGTGTATGTATGTGTGTGGTGTACATGCATTATATATAGATGTGTGTATTGTGTATGGTATGTGGGGTGTGTATACATTGTGTGTGTATTGTGTATGTGTGTGGGAGCATGTGTGTGGTATGAGGTGTATGTGGTATGTGTGTATTGCACATGTGTGGTATGTATGTGCATGGTGTGTATGCATGTGGGGTGTGTGCATTGTGTAGTATATCTGTGGTGTGTATGACGTGTATATGTGTAATATATTGTGTGTATATTGTGTGTGATATGAGGTGTGTATGTATGGTGTGTGTACATTGTATGTGTGTGTATGTATGTGGGGGTATTGTGTATTATACATGTGGTATGTATGCATGTGTGTATGTATATGTGTGGTATATCATGTAATTGTGTATTCTGTATGTGTGGTATGTGTTTATTGTGTGTATATATGTGTGTGGTATGTATGCATTGTAAGTGTGTGTATTGTGTATGTGTGTGGTGTGTGAGGTAGGTATTGGGATGCATATGTGTAGTATGAGATGTACATGGTGTGTGCGTATCATGTGTGGTATGTATGTGTGTGTGTGGCATGTGATGTGTATGTGGTGTGATGTGTGTGGGGTGTGTTAGGCTTGGAATGGCACTGGGGACGTAATATGTAAGGATCAAGCATTCCCAAATGCACTAGCAAACCCCAACCTGACGTAAACATACACAACCTCCTGTTGAAATCACACGCTGTGCCTCAACACAATGGTATTTAACACTCTCTGTCTTCAGTCCGAGCTACAAAGTCCTTGGACAGCTTCCTGAAACTGATGTGTATATTGATATAGACGCATATGAGGAGGTAGGACCTTTTTCTATCATTTAAAAAGGTTGTAAGCATGTGATGTGCTTGGCTAAGTACTATTTTTACCCAGGACAAAAAGTAGGGGTAAGGTGGGAGACATAGTGGTCAAAGTGAAAAGTCTGAGCTTTGATCTACTGTATGGATTCAATTTTATAATTTATACTATGCATTAACTACTCAATTTCCAATATTTATTTTTCCTCATTTTTTAATGGGAATAAGTGTATATTGTGGAAATTAAAGTATATATTTATACAGTATTGAAACTGAAAGGATGGTTTGTGTGTGTATGGTTTTCTTCTGATGAATGTAAACCAATGGTAAAATAATTTTAACCATGTAAAATGTAGGTGGTGGGGCTGTGGAATTCTCCCACTTCATTTTAATGGTTACAATTATGGCTTCAGATTTCCTTGATTTTGAATGTTCTTTTCTTCTGTGGAATCTCAAAGATTTTTACAAAGTCTTTTAAAACTAGTTTTGTCTGTCTGTCTTGTCTTATGCTTGGGAAGAAATTATCAGACTCACGCTAAGGTAGTAGAAAATGAGGAAACAAAATTCACTCTAAGGTAAAGGTGTTAGAATTGCTATTTTTTTCCTCGATCCAAAGAATTATATGCAGGATTACTTGTTTCCAGCCTGCCTCCCAGAGTTCCACGAGGGTTCTTGATAAAATGTTTACTCAGTTTCACTTGTGTCCATTAGGATCCTTCCTGTGTCTGTGAATCAAACCAGTGTAAACCTCTGTTCACTTTATTTGCCTGCCTCTCACAGTCTGGGCAGCAGCCTTCCATCTCCTATCCATTTTCTTTTCTGTTTTTGAGTATTTTTCAGTTTCTTCTTTGTGTTTAATGGTAAAAATAAAACAAAGACTGACTTTTAAAACAAATGGAAAGATGTGCATGTTTAAAAGGTCTCTGTCAGTTCTGTTCCGAGCATGAGTAGATAAGAGTGACTTTTTTTTTCTTTTTTTATCTTTGTGTGTGTGTGTGTGTGTGTGTGTGCTAGAGTGACACTATTTTAGCTAAGCCCTGAAAAGGAGACCTTAGCAACTTCTGCATTCATTTTCTATTTGGAGTGGGGAGGCTATGCAGTTTTCATTCTGAAATATTTCCATGTGTTAAATTCAGCAATATTTTACTCTTCAGGTGAAAGAAATTCCTGGAATAAAAATATTTCAAATAAATGCACCAATTTACTATGCAAATAGTGACTTGTATAGCAATGCATTAAAACGAAAGGTGAGTCATGAGAAATTGATTATTTCTGAGGATGGGATTTGTGGGTTGACAGGGATATAAGGATCACTAGAATACCCTTGTGTATACTATTTCATTTTCACTTTGTTTCTCCCTTTTATTGTAGTAAAAGATACATAACATAAAATACACTATTTTAAGCATTTTCAAAATATACAGTCCAGTGGGTGGCATTAAGTACATAAACATTGTGCAGCCATCACCATTGTTCATTCTCTCTTATCATATATATATATAACTTTCCAAAAAAATTTAAGAAAAAGTGAGAAAATAAGTTTAGGTTTCTTACTCTTGGGATCATATAGATTCCTATGGTCATATTTAGAACTCAACCCTACACCACCCAGTATATAGGAAAACCTCCCTATCAACCCACAGAGTGTCTTAAATATAACAACCTGACAGATCTGAGCCTGATAAAGACTGCTCTAAAAATTATCTTTAATACTTTAGCTTCTGGTTGTCTTGAATAAAGACTGAGAATAAGAAAGGCTACTAATGCCTCTGAGGGAAAAGCAGTGCAAGGGTTGGGGTGATAACCTGACACAGAAAGCAGTTAAATGGGGAGATTTGAAAGGGAGTGGCATTGGGGTGGGTCTCTGAGCACCATGAAGTGATTTTGCTTATGTTGCTCTTCTGTAAAGACTGGAGTGAACCCAGCAGTCATCATGGGAGCAAGGAGAAAGGCCATGCGGAAGTATGCTAAGGAAGTCGGAAATGCAAATATGGCCAACGCCACTGTTGTCAAAGCAGTGAGTGGTCTTTTCATTGAAATGTTCCCTTCTGTCTTGTTCTTCAGTGCCCTCCGTCTTTACTCATGACTGAAGTTTAAACACAGTACGAAGTTACTAAAAGAGGAAGGTTTAGAAACCACCTAAGTATCCTCTATATTTTATAGACAACTGATAAGGTCAGTTATGAGGATGTTTCTGAAAAAAGTAAGGAAAACATCATTTGAAAAAATAAAAATTAGGCAGTACCTTAACAGATTTTACCATTAGCACTTTGTCGTAGATTGATTCAGCTGATAGTTTAAAAAGCTCAAAGGCTGGCTTTTGCTGTTCAGGCATGCTAATGTGTGACCCGTCGAACTAAAGTTAATGGAACTATTTTAGAAGTTAGCGGCAAATGGATAGATAACTGAGGAGAGTGGATTTTGTTGGACAAGAAAAAAAAGAGGAGGAGAAGGAAAAAGAGAAAATAAATTGAGTTAAAATGGAAAGTTATACATACATCCTTTTTTTGTTCAGTTACAAGACTGGAATATGACAAATATTTTACAAGGGGTCTGGTAGAGTCAGTAGCTTAAGAATACAAGGGTGGATTTTCCATTATAAATCTTTCTCACAACCAGAAATGTGAGTTGTTCATGGAATTCTGATTTGGTTTAATTTTTGACACAGGATGCAGAAGTAGATGGAGAAGATGCTACCAAGCCGGAAGAAGAGGATGGTGAAGTAAAATATCCCCCAATAGTGATCAAAAGCACATTTCCTGAGGAAATGCAAAGATTTATGCCCCCAGGGGATAACATCCACACTGTCATTTTGGATTTCACTCAAGTCAATTTTATTGATTCTGTTGGAGTGAAAACTCTGGCAGGGGTAAGCATCCTCTTGAACGAGTCATTTAACACCTCTATGTCCAATGTCATACTATCAGCAAAATCAGGGAGGTGGACTAGGCTTTCTTCTCAACTCTTGAAATTCTCTTCTGTTGCCGTTTATCACCTTTTGATTATGGAAAATTTCAAAAATATATAGAAGTAAAGATTTTAGTATATTCAATCCCCATGAACTATCACTCAGCTTCAACAATTATCAACTTATGGTCAATCTGGTTTCCTTTATAGCTGATATCCACTTTCTCTTCTTTTATTTTGAAACACATCCCAGTCATAACATCATCTGTAAATATTTTAATATCTATTGCTACAAGAAGATTTGTTTTAGAAAACATTGCTGTAATATGCTGGGCTACTCAGGAGGCTGAAGCAGGAGGATTGCTGAGCTCAGGAGTTCAAGACCAGCATGAGTAAAATAGTGAGATTTTGTCTCTTAAAAAAAATTGTTTATAATTTTAAAATTATAATATTTTTAAGTTAATATAATAGTTTTATTATACTTAAGTAAAATTTAACATTATTTTTGCTACCCCTTATTATCACTGTCCACATAAAAAGCAAAAGAAATACAGAATTATTTTTAATTGATTAGCTCAAAATACATCATTATTGAGGCAAAGCAGCTCAAGTGAATGAATGAGAGTGTCTTCTATCACTGAAAAACAATGGTAAAAAGAGACTTTCATCTGGCACAGAGTAAAGAGAAACTAAACTTTATTTCAACATTATTACAGATTGTAAAAGAATATGGAGACGTTGGTATATATGTATACTTAGCAGGATGCAGTGGTGAGTATACCTCTAAGATGGGGTGAAGCTTAATATTTCAGTTTTGTTTCTCTTATTTAAACAATTGCACTTGGAAATGTCCTGAATTTTAATTATTTTATAAAAATGAAAATTATTCCTCTGAAAAATCACTCTAAAGCCAGCTTTGAAATTAGCCACATGGAGGCATTCATATTACAAGTTACTCGTGAAAACCCTCCTGAACTGGAGTTGGAGGAAAGGAGCCAAGAAGCCATCGTTTATTATAATATTAATGGCTGCTATAAATATAGTAATTATAATATATACATTACTACAGTAACAATTATCTAATGACTGCCATAAACAGTTACATATAATCATTCAGGTTGCTTGTTTCTCTGTCCAATGGTTTGGGAATACTTTGCCTGCTATTTTTGTTTTATATTACATTTTGGTTAAAACAGTGCTTGAGGCTGGGTGTGGTGGCTCACACCTGTAATACCAGCATTTTGGGAGGCCAAGGCAGGTAGATTGCCTGAGCCTAGGAGTTCAAGACCAGCCTAGGCAACATGGCGAAACCCCATCTACTAAAAATACAAAAATTAGCCAGACATGGTGGTGCATGCCTGTACTCCCAGCTACTCGGGAGGCTGAGGTGGGAGGGTGTCTTGAGTCTGGGAGGCAGAAGTTGCAGTGAGCCAACATCACGCCACTACACTCCAGCCTGGGCAAAGGAATGAGAACTTGTTTCCAAAAAAAAAGAAAGAAAAAGAATTTTTAAAAAAGGAGCCAGGCATGGTGGCTCACACCTGTAATCCCGGCACTTTGGGAGGCTGAGGTGGGTGGATCACCTGAGGTCAGAAGATCGAGACCATCCTGGCTAATACGGTGAAACCCCGTCTCTACTAAAAATACAAAAGATTAGTCCAGCTTGGTGGCACATGCCTTTAGTCCCAGCTACTTGGAAGACTGAGGCAGGAGAATCACTTGAACCTGGGAGGTGGAGGTTGCAGTGAGCTGAGATCACGTCACTGCCCTCCAGCCTGGGTGAGGAGTAAGACGCTGTCTCATAAAAAGGAAAAAAAAAAAAACAGTGCCTGAGGCTGGGTGTGGTGGTCATGCCTATAATCCCAACACTTTGGGAGGCCAAGGTAGGAGGATCACTTGAGCCTAGGAGTTCAAGACCAGCCTGAGCAACATAGTGAGAATCCATCTTTATTTAAAAGAAAAAAAAATTAATAATAGAAAAAGTGCTTGAAAATGAAATCTGCATAAAGATGCCAGTTTTCGCCTGTAAGATTACCAAAAATCAAAAATAAATGACAACATGTTCCATAGGCATATGGTGGGAAAACGGGCTTTCTCAGACTTTACTGATGGTAGCACAAAATGCAACAGCCCCTATGGAGGGCAGACTGATATTAGCTTTCAAAATTATAAGTGCATTTACCTTTCAACACAGAAAATCCAGCAACATGCTGCATATGTTCAAAGTGACACATGTATGTTGTTGATCATCACAGCATTGTTATAAAACAAAAGAAAAAACTCAAGTACCAAACAAAAGGGACTAGTTAAATAAACTGGGTACAACTATACAATAGAATATGATGTAGTGGTAAAAAATTAAGCAAAAAGGGTTCAGAATTAGATATATATGTTATATTTATAACATTAATATATATTTATATTTCCCACTTTTCTTATCCCCAAAACAGCTTTTTATATATGTGTGTGTGTGTGTATATATATGTGTGTGTATGTATGTGTATATTTATATATGTTTATATTTATATGTGTGTATGTGTGTATATATATATTTCCCATTTTTCTTATCCCCAAATATATAAAATATGCTGTTTTGGGGATAAGAAAAGTGAGAAATAATAATACGCATTTATTTATATTTACATAGAGAAATCCTGGAAGAATACACAAGAAAGTAGTTTCCTGGGATTGCGGGTATGATGGGTGGAGACAGGAATTGGGGTGAAACTTTTCCTATAGCATTTTAATATTTAAACTATATGTGCTTGAACCCAGGAGGTGGAGGTTGCAGTGAGCTGAGATTACGCCACTGCACTCCAGCCTGGGTGACAGAGTGAGACTCTGTCTCAAAAAAAAAAAAAAAAAAGCACTATATGGAAGTGTTACCTTTTTTTAATTGTTGAAGACTGATACCCAGAGTGTGGACTAATTTTCTTTTCTTCTTTTAATAGCACAAGTTGTGAATGACCTCACTCGGAATAGATTTTTTGAAAATCCTGCCCTATGGGAGCTGCTGTTCCACAGCATTCATGATGCGGTTTTAGGCAGCCAACGTAGAGAGGCACTTGCTGAACAGGAAGCCTCGGCTGCCCCTCCCCAGGAGGACTTGGAGCCCAATGCCACTCCTGCCACTCCTGAGGCATAGATGAGGACCTCACCCTAGGATGGGGTTATAAGCCTCTTGTGAAGTTCATGATTTACACGTTTTAAATACTAGACACTAGATTTTTTTTTTCCTGAGGGTAAATACTAGTAGTCGAGGCTTGATTTGGAGGGTGAATGACGCCTAGCAATATGTATCGTACTTGTGTTTTTTTAATTGAATATTTCAAAGATAAATTGGCCTGTTGCCTGCATTTATTATAGAGAGGCATTTCTGCTACATTTTATTATTATCTTTGTAAGCTAAGCACTGAAAAATTTATTTCAGTTAAGTACTTTTTACCTATGAATAGGATATGCTGTCGCCAGATAATTAGTGGTTCTTTGTTTTTGTACTTGTTGGTCTACAGACTGTCTATAATTAGTTACGTAACAGAAGAAAGAAACTGCAATTTTCTAGAAGTTCTTGTTTTAAAATAACCTTTTATTTATTATAGAAGCAATATAAATGCATTGAGGACATTTTTGAAAAAATAGACAAGCAAAAATAAGAAGATAAAACATTATATTTCCACCAGAGATTACCACTGTTAACATCTTAATGTCCTTCCAGATCTTTTTCCATGCATATACATTTACATTTTTAACCAAAGTAAGACCACATCTATAGTGTTTTATAACCGATTTTTCTTTAATCAACAATCTCCACTTTCTCATTCCAGCACATTTTTTTGCCTTAGACCATATTTAAATTTCCCCAATTGTCCCCAAATTTGCAGTTGGTTTGTGCAAACTGATATTCATTCTATGACCTTACATTGCAACTGGTCATGTCCTTTAAAGTCCCTTACGTCTATTTTAATCTAGCACAGTTCCTTTTCTATGACATTGATTTGTTAAAGAGACTGGGGCAGCTGTCCTGTAGAATCCTGTCTTGTGAATTTGCCTAGTTGCTTTTTCATGGTGTTGTTTAACTTATTTTTATATTGCCTTTACTACCTGCAATCTGAAAGTTATATCTAAAGCCTTTATAGATTCAAATTAGAGCATTTTGTGCTAGATTATATCATAGATAAGATACATGCTTCATATCGCAACACTTCAGAAAACACGTAATATCTAATTGATGTACCATTAACTAATCTAGTGATCTAAGCTAGATGAGTGGATCAGCATGAGTCTGATCCTCCAGTTAGATTTTCCCCTTTGTGACTACAGACTTATCTGTGTGGTATTCCTTTGGCATTGAATGAATGTCCAGTCCCCCACTAGCCGTTTACCAGGAGTTTTAACATTGGGTGGTAATTCTCTGCTAAATAATTAACTTTATTAAGGTTTGTGAGTAGGTTGTCTAGTTCTTTCATTTCTTCTGCGTTTATTAGTTGATTGTTCTATGTGAACTATAGCTTTCCCTTCTCCACTTGAGCTATTGGTCATCCTTACCCACCTGTAGTTCTACTAGCAGGGCAGGTTGAATGCTTTATTATTTTCATTTAATTATGAACTTCAAAGTAAATAACTGGTTTATTAGATGGTGACAAATTAGCGGGGTTTTTTTAGATTTCCCTTTTCTGGTGTGATGGTGGTCTTGTGAATTTTGAAAGTTTTAATGGGTTTCAATCCATTATGTTCTTTTTGATGCTCAAAGTGTCACAACTGTGGCCAGTATAAGTCCTTAAAAGCTTTGTTATTGTTGCTAATCATGAAGTAGCATTAAAGACCATGTTTTTAAGAAAACTAACCCCCAGATGTAACTTAAATCTTCCTTAGAAGTTCATAACAACTATCAGTTCATTACACATCAAACTCAATGTTCAGCCTAGGAATAAGCATAATGCTCATCATACTCATTCCACAGAAACATGGAATGTCAAAGGTTGGAGGAGGATACCTTTAAACCAATTTGTCACTTTCAGTTGTTTGTAACTATCAGCTCACTATAAATCAAAGCATAGGTATTAGCCAACCTGTCTAAAGCCTCCTCTGCTAAGAGTTCCTGCTGATAGTGAGTTTGTTTTTTCTTTAATATGTTGTCTTATTGACATCTTGTTATAGTTTTCATGAATAAGATACTGCCAGGAGAAAGGAGTCAGATCCCAGTGGAATTGTTAGCATGGCCTACTTGCAACCAAACCCTGTGTATGTGTTCATGTTAACTCCTATCAGGTTTCTCACTGTCTTTACTAATTTAATTCAAAATAAACTCCTCCTTTTAATCAAAACTTTAGCTAATTCTAGAGTGGAATTTAGATTTGCTTAGTTATTTCCTTTGCAATCATCACATGAGATCAGATACATCTGCATTCTGATACAGACTGCCTTCTGAAAGAGCATGTAGTTGTAGAACTTCAGCTTACACTAGAAACTTTTATAAAAGAGCCTATATCATTTCAGCCATTTAAGTAGAATTTAAGGATTTTAAACTATGTTAAAATACTTTGGCCGGGCGCAGTGGCTCACGCCTGTAATCCCAATACTTTGGGAGGTCGAGGCGGGCAGATCACGAGGTCAGGAGTTTGAGACCAGCCTGGCCATCATAGTGAAACCCTGTCTCTATTAAAAAATACAAAAGTGAGCTGGGCATGGTGGTGCACACCTGTAGTCCCAGCTACTCGGAAGGCTGAGGCAGGAGAATGGCTTGAACCCGGGAGGCGGAGGTTGCAGTGAGCTGAGATCACGCCACTGCACTCCAGCCTGGGTGTCAGATCCAGGCTCCGTCTCAAAAAAAAAAAAAAAAAAAATTCATTGCACATTCTTTAGCACCAGCAGATACCGTGCTTGATAGATTGAAAGTAGTGTACAGGCTGGGCGTGGTGGCTCACACCTGTAATCCAGCACTTTGGGAGGCTGAGGCGGGCGGATCATGAGGTCAGGAGATCGAGACCATCCTGACTAACACGGTGAAACCCCATCTCTACTAAAAATACAAAAAAATTAGCCGGGCGTGGTGGTGGGTGCCTGTAGTCCCAGCTACTCGAGAGACTGAGGCGGGAGAAAGGCATGAACCCAGGAGGTGGAGCTTGCAGTGAGCAGAGATCGTGCCACTGCACTCCAGCCTGAGCAACAAGAGCGAGACTCCATCTCAAAAAAAAAACAACAAAGTAGTGTACAAAAAAAGGTATTTGTCTGTTACACATTTGTATTTAGCTTTACTGTTAAACTTTTAAACTGTTTTGAATACAATTGTTATGTATATTAAAAGCACCAAGTCTTAAGGAAGGAAATGTATTTTTGTTTTATCATTTTGCTTAGCATCTGAGAACGAGTGCATTTCAAAATACGTTTCATCCGTATGTAAATATGTCAGAATGTTTTACTTAGAATTATTTCATACAGTGAAAATTTCCTGACCTTTTTTGTCTTACAGGCTTGTCTCTGCCTTTCAAGGAAATAATGTATAAGCCCACCTGTTCTTTCTGGGCCTTAATAGCTGCTACTGTATCTTCTATGTTTTTCTACCCTGATTCAAATTCAGGTTCATATAGTCCTATCAAAATGGGTATAATCTACATAATCTAAGGACTAGCCTTATTTTATGGCAATATATGGGAAAGCACTGTTTTGAAGAAGGTCCCATAAAGTCCTTTAACCTTCTCAAATACTGTGCGGTGTGACAGTGGTTGATCTCTGTCTCATGAATCAATGGAATATGTTTGAAAACGTTTGTGAAACAGAGCCCAGGAAATTCCAATCTATGTCTTAGACACTGACTCTGTATAAGTATATGGCAGCTGATAATGGGATCCCAATTGCCAATCTCATCTGCAGTGGAAGCCGAGAAACTGTTAAGGGTATGGATCCTCTTCAAGCCCTGGAATAGCTCATTTTGTAGTTCACAGGAAACATCTAAAACATCCACTCCGTGTGGTTTGATCCTGTGTCCTTACCTGTTTAGCAGAGACAGTACCAGCCTCTGAGTGTACACTTTTTAAGAAAATGAGTCTGCTCTCTTGTGTGGATGAAGAAAAGAGGGTAGCAAACCCAGTGAATCTGTCCTGGGGTGGGTGGGTGTGTTTTTGTGTGTGGTGGGGGGTGGGGGTGTGCCCTTGTGTGGGGATGAGGGAGGGAAGAGTATGTGGTGGGGAAGGCTCTATTAGGTCTGCCCCTTTAAAGATAGTAAATCAATTTAAATTCTAAAATCAAACAGAACTTCCTCGGTGTGAGCCTGTATGCTTTACTGAGTGCAAAAAATGCTATTGGTCTTTTTTAGTGCACCTCACCCTTCAGGAGTGCCTTTAGGATTCAGGATGTCTGGATTCTTACTGTTCTGAATGCCCATAAAAGTTTGAGAACTGTGAAAGTATTATGGAATTCTTCAAACCAAAATGCAGGCAATGGTTTTGAAGCCCCTGCAATCCCAACAACACAGTGGTAAAAGCTAGCCCCACACCAGGTAACATGCCTGCTTCGTGACTTGGATTTTATCAAGTTTGAGCATCTTAAAACTCCACCTGGCCTTTGAGAAAGGTGTACCAGGCTTTTCATTGTACTGGTATATTGCATTTCACTTTACCTAACAGATAAACCTCAGAAGCATCATGAAAATTGAATTTTTTAATAAACCTAATCACATTTTAATGTTAAGTTTTTAAACAGGATTCTACAATATATATTTCTAAAGTCATAAATCTTTTGTATTCTAACTTAGCACCCTGACACATACATATATGTGTGTGTGCATCTACACACATGTATATAGACACATCTATTTTAGGTGGAAGAAGTTATTGGTAAACATCTGTTTCATCTTTTGAAGTAGGGTACAAACATGCTGACCTAGACAATGTTGATGCTACCTGCATAAATATGCCTTGACAGAAACTCCCAAATTTTTCAAATAGTTGATTTTATATTTGATGTGTAGCCAATTAGATTTTCCTTATGGACCTAAACTAATTATCACAATAGTCACTCTGTATCGTTAGAACAGAGTGTGCTCAACACTATCTAATTTGAATTGTCTTTAATTGGTATATATGAGCATGTGGCCATGACAAAGTGGAAAGACTTGAGAGTGTGTTCTAAATGCATACATTTATTTAATCAAAACATTCAAAAACATACATCTTCAGTCATTTTCTTGAGTATATTTTATTGTAAGCATAACCTGAAAATAGTTTGGTCTATTTAATTCCTCAAGAAAGACTAGAGCAGGGTTTTAAAAGATGAATTTTTCTGATCAAGTTCATAAAAGTGAAAAATCAAGAATGTTGGTTGGATTTTATAAAGGGCTTTAATTTCTTGAAAACTTTCATAATTTTCCATATTTCAGTGCAACACAGCATTTTCTACGTTGTCAACTTTTTCTATTGTAAATTTAAAATGTGTCCAACTTTATTTTGCAACTTATTTATGAATATCAAACTTCAATAAAAATATTCATTATTGTGCTTTGGTCTTGGCATTGGGGGAAGGGGTAATTGTGGTAGAAGATAGGATTTGGTGGTGGTTACACAGGAGATAATTTTAAAAAGATCTGTTGAGGATTCTAATATAACCTTTATTTTTAAAATACCTCACTGTAGACCAGAAGCCTAACAGACATTTTACCACAATTTTAAACTAATTTGTAAAATGAAAGTAATCACTTTTCTGTATGAAGCCAATTCCGGATTTTCTAAATTAGATCATATGTACACACATTTTTCTTTTTGTCTTTTTTACTACTCTTTCACCTCTGGCTGAACATTTTTCTTTCTGCTTTATTGTATTACTTTACTGCTCATTAAAATCACTAATTCTTCCTGATTAATTTGAAATCAAATTGCAATGCAAAACATATACATCCAATGTTTCTCTTACTTTAAAAAAGATTTGGCCAAAGCTTTTATTATTCAACATGGTGGTGGGAAACTATCATAATGCATGTGGTCATAAGCCTAAGTGAGCTACTTTGATGCGGGACAGAAGAGGATAATAGGAGCATAGGTAATGGAGCCGACAAACTTGGACCAGAAACCCAGCTTTGCCACTACAAGTAAGTAGGAAAGTTTATGAATCCATTAGATGAAGATCCATTTGATAATCTTCCTCAATGGACAGATGGGAGGATACAATGAGAATTTCTATGTAGAGCACCCAGCCAGCATATGCCCAGGATATAAGCCATCTAAGCAAGCACTCTGTTTGCTGTGAAACCCTTAAATGGGAGTGGGTCAAAAAAAAAGTCAAAATATATTCTAACAAGCTTTTCTGTCTAATAACATTAGAGATCACCTTTTATTAGAAGAGATATGGAAACATACAATTTTGAAGCCATTTATTTGTTTATGAAGTGGTTATTAACAAGTCTACGTAAGGTTAGGATTCCAATCTAAAGTTTTCACCTGAAAGCCTTCAGGGTTCAGTTGTATGTCATATAACGAGGAGTAGCACTGAATTTGGCATAAGACTTAATGACCTTATTTACAGCTTCCAAGAAATCTTTCTCAGTAGCGATTTTTCGCCGTGCTCTGATGGCAAACATACCGGCTTCTGTGCAGACGCTTCTAATCTCAGCACCTTTCAAACAAAAAGAAAATAAACAGGCTTAATTAAAGCAGCCTGAGCAGACAGACCAGCAAATATAAGCAAGAACTTTCTACTTACCAGTGCTATTTGGACACAGTCGTGCTAACAATTCAAATCTGATATCTCTTTCAACACTCATCGAACGAGCGTGAATCTTAAATATGTGGGTCCGACCCTAAAAATGAGAGAATTGACAAATATGAAAATGCAAAAAACATCACAGGAAGAAAAAACTTCAAAAATCCCTTTCCTAAAATGAAATGATTTTCTTACCTCTAGATCGGGCAGGCTAAATTCAATTTTTCTATCCAATCTCCCTGGCCTCATCAGTGCTGGATCCAAAGTATCAGGTCTGTTAGTGGCCATCAGCACTTTAATATTGCCTCGAGGATCAAAACCATCAAGCTGATTGATCAGTTCCAACATTGTTCTCTGCACTTCATTGTCACCTCCAGCACCATCATCAAACCGAGCCCCTGAGAAGACAAAAGATAAGCTCTTCAAGTCCACTCAGAGTAGCACTATGCATGACCTGAAAGTACCATAAATCTCAGCTCAAATCATGCCCTCCGGAATAAGTGCATATCCCACTTTGAAGCAAATCCTGTAAGAACAGCCTGCTTTATACAAAACAAATTAGAAAGTGAACCTTTGCTTTCAAAAGTATTCATCACAGATTTACTTAACATTTTTTAAACTGCCTATGGGGCAGTTTTATGTTTTCAAAGTCTACCACATTTATTACTTGACTTGAACCTCTCAAAACCTCATGAAGTACACAAGGCAAGAATTATTCCCTTTATAAGATAAGAAAACTGAGGCTAAGAGATTAGTCAAAATAACTTGTCCTCAGGAGTTCAAGACCAGCCTGGCCAACATGGTGAAACTACGTCTCTACTAAAAATACAAAAATTAGCCAGGCATGGTAGCAGGTATCTGTAATCCCAGCTACTCGGGAGGCTGAGACATGAGAATGGCTTGAACCAGGAGGCAGAG